AAATATCCCACTCCAACAGATATATTTGGTTATCTATAAAAAGGCCATGAAGACTTGAAGAAATATACGAACATAGAAAGTGATAGAGGTGAATACATAAAGGAGACGTGAATACACACGAGAAAAACAAGTGCAAGTGCTCAAATATTCTTTAGAGAATTAGTCTGAATAGTCTCAAAAATAGTTGGAGAGAGATACAATTACCTTTGTATTTGTAATTGTTAAGAAGAGTATAGCTGTGTGCAAAATACTCTAGTTAGTGTAGCTGTGTGCAAAACACTCGTAGTTGCTAAGTGTAGCTGTGTGCAAAAACACTTAGTTGGCGTTGAGTATAACTGTGTGCGAAATACTCGGAGTTGAGTGTAGCTGTGTGCGAGACACTCGGAGTTGGGTGTAGTTGTGTGCAAGACATCCGGAAGAAGTGCTTGTGTAGCGCTTATTCACTATTGTAAGTGTGTGTGGAAAATAGTGAATTACTCTTAGAAGTGAATGGAGTAAAGTGGACTAGGAAGATTACGCCACTTCCGAACCACTATAAAAAGCCTCTCTCATTTACATACTGCACTTACATAATTCGCTCTATCTATCTATCTTATCCGACTAACCCATTTACTATTCACAGTCTATCTTAATCTTTCGGGTTTAGCATATTTTCACGTATGCATGTAACTCAAACTTTCCATGCTTAACATTTGAATTATTCTAAGCAAGTTTGACGTGTTGCATGTAACATTTATCATACGATCTACGTGACACGAAATCTTATCTATAGTCTTGAATATTATTGTTAAATATTGAGTGAACCATCTCCTTTAAATATTCAAGATATTCATGTCATCCTTACACCTCATCTGAGCATTAATTCCACACGTGCATGTGATTCAAATTATTGTTTGGGCATAACTCTTTACACTCATTTATTCCGCTGTGCATTTCATTTTAATTACTTCTCTATTACTTGTTACTTAGAGTTGAAATTACCAAAGAGTTATTTATTGTGAAAAAGTTTGAAAGTCTATTCACCCCCCCCCCTCTAGACTTTCACCACCCTATCGCGACCAACAAACTGTATATTCATATATATTTTATTTGGAAATCATGCAGCCACTGCTGGAATTTCGCGATTTTCCGACCACATTTCCGACCACCAAAATTGGTCGCAAAAAGTGATTTTTTTTTATTTTTTTCGACGGAAGGTTGTAGTAGTCGGAATTTCCGACCACTTTACATATGTGGTCGGTAATTCCGACCACTTTTTACATGGTGGTCGGAAACGTTTTGCCAAATTTAATTTTTAAAATTAAGAGTTTATTTGCGACCACCCTAGTCATCGGAAATATTTTTAGAAGTTTAAATTTGTATACTAAACTTGTAACCTTTTTTTGTTGTTGTTATTGTTGTTGTTCAATGGTATGAATGTCACATGATTTATTTTAATAATTAATTATTTCAATTATACTTTTTTTTTTCTATTTCATCCGACAACAATGCAAAGAATTTTCTAGTAGAAACCAACTCACCATTATTGTTATGAAAAATAAGACCATGCTGCTCATTCCATATAGATACATGAAATCATTTTCTAACTTCAACTCTTTAAAACCTTTATTCTTGTTGATTCTATTCAGTTTCATATTTCTACATAATGCACCGTATATCATCGTGTATTGTATTGTGCGTATTATTTTTATCACATAATACAAACATCCATATAGTATCAGTAGTCTAGATTTTCTCATGGCATCCATTCCTAATGGTTGTGCCGTTGTTTCGTCTGAGCGAACCGTCTCTAACGTTGCTACGGTGTCTCCTACGCCAGTGGCCACGATTGCCCTTCGGCACATCACTTTGTTTCTATCGAACTGACATAATGAATTGTATATCATCGTGTATTGTACTGTGTATTATTTTTATCCCATAATACAAGCATTCATCATTATAACAATTATAAATTTTGAAAAAAGAAACACTGTAATCAATCGTATTGGTATATAATTATAATAAAAATTTTCTTGATAAAATTTATAAAAAGTACACATTTATAAATATATTATTTTTTTTAAACCAAAGGAACCAAAATTCATTAGATCAAATGTTCAATACAATGCAGAATAGAATTGAAATAACTAAGGGGACCACTGTGTTCACTGATCTAGGAATAAATTGAAGAGACATAGAATCAAAATCTCGTTGAATCTCTCGACACTTGTTGATGATACAACCCGTATGAGAATAATCCAGCAAAGAGCTTTTAAGGAAATTACATACCGTCTGGCAATCAGAGAAAACGATAACCTTCATAAAATTCATATCTTTAACCCACGACCCGACTTCCTTAACCGCCATTGATTCCACGAGGTGAACATCATGTAAGCAACTCATAGGTCCATGGCGAGCTGCTACATACACTCCACTTGAATCCTTAATAAGAATTCCATAGCTAGCCTCGTTAGTTTCTGGGAACACCGCAGCATCAACGAAAATCTGCACATGATATATAGACATATAGTCTTCAACATCTTCAATAACAAGTGTATTTTATATAGGGAAAAGTGTCAAAGACCCCCTAAGTTACATGGATAGTGCAATTAGGTCCCCTAAGTAAAAAAAAAAAAAAATTCCATTGAAATTTTCTAAATCGGTAAAATAGTTCAATTTGACTTGTTTATCATGTTAAAGTCATGTGGTGTTGACACGTGTCTTTTTATTTATTAACAATAAAACATACTCCATCTGTCCTACTTACTATTCATTGGGTCAAACTAATTCTTTATTCTTTGTTTATTTTCTTTAATATTTTTTTTACTTATTTTTAAATTTAATTTTTTATATTTAATAGTACTTTTAGTGTAGTTTTTAAATATATAAATTTTGTATACTAATATTAAATTTAATATTATGAAAAATTAAATTAAAAATAAATCCAGTCAAACTTGGTTAACCGAACCAAAACACATAAAATGGAATGAGAGTAGTATATTATTTATAAAAATCATTAATGTATGAAAATTAATTCAATAAAATCAAATTCCCACCAAAATTTTACTCTTGGCGCCTTATTGTACATAAAATAAAATTTTACAGCCACACCTTCCTCCCTCTTCTCTTTTCACCTCTCCTAAATCCCTAATTCTTTTCCTAAGCGGCCTGACGCCCAGACCAAGTCATCGCCTCTTCAAATCGTCGCAACTCGGAAGCCGCGATCGCCGCCTCCAGCCATCAGGTATTTTTGTTTCTCTTGTTTTATTTTTCATTCTTTTTCTCTTCAATCAGATGCGCCAGGTTGAGGACGCGGGGGAAATGTAGCTCGCCATCGGTCGCGAAGCGGGAGATCCGGCTCGCCAAGATCGAGGATCGGTGAACAACATCGGAGAGAGCAGCTGCGACGACCTTGACCAGCGGCAAAGAGGATGTGGACGACGGCTTGAGTTCTGTTTGTCTCTGCTATTTCTTGTTCTTGCCTTATTCTTGGTGTTTAAATACCCTTCAATTTCTTATACTCTAAATATATCTGCGGATTCCAAAAATCCATTTTTTATTTCCCTGTTAAGATATAAAGGATGATTCTTGTTGTCAATGTATTATGATATTTCTGCACATTTGTTGTTGATTTCAATATTTTGTGGGATAGTTTAGCTTCTATTTGTCCTTAACGAAGGTGCATTTTAAAATACTTGTCATCTTTTATTTATTTTTGTTGTATTTCATTCAAGAAGGTTGTTTTTTGATTGAGGAAGAAGCTAATTGCTGGCAGTTTTTTGATTGAGGAAGAAGCTTGATCATGATAGTGTTCTGATCTCATTTTGTTTTTCTGCATTATTTTTCACATATCAAAATTCTGGAGTTCTGGATCCTAAATATGATATTAAGGTTTATCTAGACTTTGTAAGTGCTACATTTGCTGATCTGCAGTGCTACTCTGGCATCGGCTTTTGAATTTTGATACCAGCAGCCTCAAGGTATAACTTTTTTCCCCATAGGGCATAGTGTGAATGTATTGCTGAATGTTAACTGATTATTCTATATGAGCTAGATGTTAATTGATTATTTTATATATTTTGCTTTTTAGTTCATGAGACAATAATGGAGGACACTTTTATAAGTAGACCATTTATATATGGCAGGCTAGATTGTCTTGCCAAGTCTGTAGGAAACTCTTATATTAAAGCACTTCCATAACTTTCTAGGCGATTTAACTCTATTATGTAGCTGGACTTATTATTATCACATTTGAGCTCCTTTAGTGCAACATTAAAACTCAAATATCTGACCAAGTAGCTCGGTATTTTTCTGCTCGATGCATGCATGATACAGCCATTTGATTTGTCACACTGTCAGTTGATTGCAGATCTTCGGTGGTCATTGTATTTTCAAGTTTTGATGTTATTGCTTGACTGAGCTTTCTTATTTTGTATTGATCAGCACCATCTCACAAATTATATTCCTTTGTGAGACATGACTTATTCTTTGAAGTGCTGCCCCCCTTGCCTTGATTTATTTTGCTTTACTTGTATAAATACTACAGAGTTACAGAGTAATATTATTATTTCTAGAAGCCTTAATGTGACAGGATGATTGTTGGAAATATTGACACTGTTGCCTCATTTTACAGAAATTTTCCATTTCAATTCTAGTTCATTTTCTTTATTGAGTTTGTTAAGCTAACCAGATCTTTATTTCTTTGAGTGCTTTTACAGGTTTAGGTATTAATAAGCTGAGCTCATTTCTGGTTCTTTGTTGTTTAATTTTTTATATGATTTACCAGTTAGTTATATATGCGGTGCCTAAAATAATGTTATTTTTGCAGGAATTGAAGGGTTTACAATCGGGAGAGTTGATATATATTGATTTGCTTTAATTAGAAGTTTATTGATGAATATGGCAATGAGTTTCTGATTATTATTATTGTGTTTTTTTCTTTATCCAGCAGGATATATATTGCCCAATGAAATAGTGTTTCTTCTGGAACTCAGAATTCCCATAAGGTGCAGTGCAGGCTGTGTTTGATCAGGATTTACCTACCAACTGAAGTTGAGGCCTGCCTCATCATCAAAGTTTGCACACCATGATCAATCACCTCAAACATAATTCTCCACTGTCACACAACACTCATGTGTTAACAATGAACTTGTGAAATTAGCTAAATCCTAAACTACTGTTCAGTGATGTGCTTAAACAGATGCTGCCCTGCTACTGACTAAACATCATAATGACCATCTGCAACTACCAAATTGTCGTCAAGATCTTCAGGTTTTTCCAAGGTATTCCCAGTCCTGCTTTTAGTACACATTAAGTGCATGCTATAGATACAATTCCAGAGTTTTTTTTTCCTGACAGTGATCTTGCGATTTACGATTTCATGTGATCAGTTCCCACTTTTGCAGTGACTCAAGAAACAAAATTGGTGGAATCAACATATACCGTACCGTTCATAGTCACTGGCATGACAGCTTTGATAATGAAACTTGTAAGTTCAGCTTATGCTTTTTTATATTGAATCATATTTTCATCTGTTGGGTCAGTTTGCACAGCATTTTCCAAGCATTCTACCCTCTCTTCCCAAGTTTAACTTTTATTAGATTTTGAGATGATAAAATGATTGTATTGAACAGGTAAATTTTTTCATAGCAATGAACTGTTTGTAGAATAAATAGTTGCCTACTAGGCTACTAGCTTTTGTTTTATGAGGATCCCATAGCGTAGAAGTGGAAGGATGTCTTCTTGACGAAATAGATGAAATATGGAGGTTATGGACAAAATATTTTGTTGATAGGTATGTGTTTACTTGTGTAATCTGTTGTACAAGAATTATGGCATTACAATGGCAGGTTCTAGGTATGTGTTTATCTCTTGTTCATATTCAATAGAAGAAAAATTAAATGAACCTTAGTTTGTAGTATTAGGTTTTGATGGATTACTAAAATATGCTTTGTGTTTGGCAGGCAAGTGACTATAATTTTGACTATGATAGAATATCATAGGTAAGGATTTGATGTTGGTGTGTGTGTAATGTATCCGATGCTGAGTATGAAATCGACTCCAGCTATAGCGGCCATGAAAAGGCTTTAGAAATAGCCAGAACTGACCTTGTAAGACATTTGTTGTTTTTTAGCCCCTACTTTGTATTTATATAATTGACGATGAGTAATAAATTGAAATAAAATGTTATGAAACTATTTGAGGATAATTTGTATTAAATTTTACATTAGTGAATTTTTTTTTTATTTTTACTTAACTAATTTCCGACCACCATTGGTGGTCGGAAATTGCCACACTATAGTATTTAATTGGTAATGTTTCCGACCACTGGTGGTCGGAAAACCGGTATCCATCCAATTATTTTGTTGGTCGTTTTTCCGACGACTTTATAAAAGTAGTCGCTATTTCCGACCACGTTACCGCGTGGTCGGAATTAGCGACAGGGTGTTTTCCAAATACCCAATTTGATCAGAAAAGTGGTCGAAAACACCGTTTCTGACCGGATTTAGCCTATTTCCGACCACTTTTGGGTGGTCGGAAATCTGATGATTCCCAGCAGTGTAACAATGTTAAGGCATTTGATAGTCAGAAAAATTCCTGCCATAGATAGGCCAATTACTAGTCATTCAAGAATTTTCATATAAATGAGAGGTTCTCAAGCATAATATCATCAACCGAAAATTTCAGTATACTTGTAGGATCAAAATCAACAAAGTGAAATGACATTTGAAAATATGCAATGATTAATAGATATAGATCAACATATAATAAAGATGCAATCTCTCCGCTGTAAGACGCAACAGAATGTTACAAGTTTTCAGTGTCATACAATGGACTACTATCCTCCATATCCGAACGTGCCTTGTCATCATCAAGAAATTCAAAATTCCAAATAGGCCCATTGTGCTACATGACAATTTTATTAATTACATAAAACCCAGCAAATGGCCACATGTACTTGTACTTGAGTCATTTAAGACTAGACCAAATATCTCCATCTAGTGGACAATACAACAGTTCTAGCATCTTCTTGGCAAAAATTTCAAAATATTATCAAGAATCTCTACCAGAAGTTCACTAATTCTATCTCTCTCGAATATAATCTAGATAACCCTAACATATGCAAATTAAAGAGCAAATAAATTAAAACTACATAATCCTTAAATGAGTGGACTGGGTAATCGTAGTTAAGTAAAATAGAAATAAGAGCAATAACTTGCCAACTACAATATAATATGATGTTATCCCAGTTACCATTCTAAATTGGTGGTCCTATGTTCAAATCTCGATAGTATCTTAGATTCTTAATACTACCTTTTAAGAAATCATGAGCATTTCAAAAAAAAAAAAAAAACAAAAAAAAAACAAAAAAAAAAAACAAAACAAAACAAAAACAATAACTCAAAAATCTGAATTGAATTATATTGCTTAAATACTAAATTTCTAAAATATGAATTCAAAACCAACAAATGAATAGCAAGTTAGCATTCAAATTGTGGAAACCCTATCGTTCAATCCCAATATGTAAAACTCTAAACTTTTTGCAATATAAAATGACAATATTTATGTTATTTTAGTACCTTTTTTTAGTAATATTGACTCTATTATAAGGCAATATATCTTCTATATTTTCTTTATTTATTGCAATCCAAAGAATCAATAATTCAATACTCCACCACCGAAATTCGATCTTATGACCTACTCTCAAAGAGAGCCACAAATGTGACAATATTTATGTTATTTTAGTACATTAGAGAACTAAAATAAATAAATAAAGAATGTAAATTTACTACACAAGTAATATACTTTTAGTATATTAAAAATGTATATTGCATTCATGGTTCACACAGCTATGTGGACCATGATCCACACAATAATTTGCCATACCGCCCCGCTTGGGGTCTCAAACCCATGACCTCTCATTTAGGAGAATCACTTGATGCCACTAAACCACAAGATCATTGGCATAACAGAGAGATATCCTATTCTTTCACTCTTCATTTTGTGATGCAAGTATATCCAACAACAATAGGAAAGGAGGAACTCCATATTGTTGAGAAACCTCAAAGGTTAGAAGGAAAGCAACATGTGTTCCATTGAAGAAGGTGAAGAGAGTTCATGTGATTACAAGCTGAAAGAGGAGATGAATAACTAACTGAAATACAGCTGACATTTCATAGGCTATATAGACAAGCCGTTATAACTGCCAAAGGGAAAGGGAAAAGACCAAAAAGGCCCATGACTTATTAAGCTAAGAAAGAAAGTAGAGATAAGCTGGACTGACTGGAGACTGCTGCAAGGTGCTGCATTATTGAGATGTTTGAGATGATTGAAGATGATTGAGCTGTGCATTACTTCATCACCCTCCCGTAAGCTGGAGCATGAAGATCTTGAAGGCCCAGCTTATCATGGAATTTGTCAAACAAAGGCTTAGGCAAGGCTTTTGTGAAGCCATCTGCAGTCTGATTTTGGGACCCGAAACAGCAAGAAGTTTGACAACCCCTTCATTGATCTTCTGTCTAACCACATGACAATCAATCTCAATGTGTTTAGTGCGTTCATGGAAGACAAAATTCTCACCAATAGCAATGACAGAGTTGTTATCACAATACAAAGTTACTGGAGTAGAGAATGTTGCCTTCAAGTCTGCTAACAGAAATAACAACCACTGTACCTCACAAGTTGTGGAGGCTAAGGCCCTGTACTTTGCCTCAGAAGATGATCTAGAGATTGTAGCTTGTTTCTTGGTTTTCCATGAAATCAAAGAGTTGCCAAGATAGATACAATATCCTGTCACAGATTTCCTACTATCCACACAAGTTGCCCAGTCTGAGTCTGAAAATCCTTGCAACTTCATAAGAGAATTAGAAGGGTAGAACAAGCCTTTTCCAGGTGCCCCTTTTAGGTACCTTAACACCCTATGAGCTGCTACCATATGAGTGTCTCTTGGTTTCTCCACAAACTGACTCAGCTGCTGGACTGCATAAGAGATGTCAGGTCTAGTATTGGTTAGATACAAGAGTTTCCCCACTAACCTTCTGAAAACTTTAGGTTGTGTGATGGGAATCCCATCAGAGTTGTTCAGTTTCTGTCCTGTGACAGCAGGAGTCTTAGTTGGCTTGGCTTCCAAAAAACCATGTTCTTTTAGGATCTCCAAAGCATATTTCCTTTGGCAAATGTTAATTCCAGCATCAGTTCTAAAAGCCTCAATGCCTAGGAAATAATTCAAGTTGCCCAAGTCTTTGATCTTAAAATCTTGACTGCTTCAATTCATTTATTTGAGCAGAATCATTTCCTGCCAAAAGGATATCATCAACATACACCAACAAGGCAATAAAAGATGTTCCTGTTTGTCTAGTAAACAAAGAGGGATCTGCAGAAATCCTTGCATTTTGATTGGCTTAGTGTGTTCACTGTGTTGGCATGCCAATTTTTTGGAGTTTAATATAAAATTTTACTTATATAAAATTAAACATTTCTACTTAATTATTTTCTTTTGTTAGTGGATTTGTACTGAATCATTTATTTATTTACTTTTGTTAGTGGATTATTGCAAACTACTAAATATAATATCTTATCATCTTACTTTATCATTTTATTTTTCTTAAAATTCAACACCAAAATGTACACTTGTGTGCACAATACCTTCATTCTACTTAAAGCAAGTCTTAAAATAAACTTATCATCCATTAAATCAATGTCCATTGGTATTTAATTTTTTAAACATATACACATAAAGTCAAGGTAGATCATAATGTCAAAATCTCCAAGATAATATGGCATCATGATAGAATGCAACATTGGGTTTCCACCAAGCTCCAATTATATATGGCATCATGATTAATTCCACCATGGTTTATGATATAATATTGCATCATGATAAGTTCACTTGCACTTCTGATGCACATGCTTTAATTTATTGATAATGGCTATGGAAGAAAAAAAGGTGTGGGAACGCGATAAAATGCAATACCCACATCAATTAGATAAATTCCAAACTCTATTTAAAATAAAAAATTAATTAATTAATTAAAAAAAAAAACCATTTGGCCGATTGTAATGATTCTTGCAAATTATTCTGTGGATCCAAGTCTAAATGTTCAAATTTATCTACTAAATGTTAACAATTTACTTTTAAAAAATTCACAATTTGTATACTACGAACAGATAATGTTAACATATATGTAATTGATTATCTTGTTTTGTATTCACAAGTTACTTTCAAATAATGCAGTCACACGATGAGAACTGTTAAATTGTACTGAATGCATATAATTACAAAGGTACAAATCATAGGTATATATACAAGAAGAATCATAGGGAAGGACATGATACAGAGGTGACCTGTAGCTTGTCTCTAAAGAAAAGAAATCTAGGACCAGGTAGAACCTTCGTAAATGTATCAGCGAGTTGATCTTTTGTTGAGATAAAGTTAACTTGAATGTCTCCATTGGCAACTCTGTCTCTAACGAAGTGATAATCAATCCCCACATGTTTGGTATGCGCATGAAATATGGGATTTGCACACATGTATGTAGCACCAAGATTATCACACCACAACTTGGGAACATAAATGCTATTCACGCCAATCTTACGCAGTAGAGATAGAATCCAAATTACTTCAGCATAAACATATGCTAGAGCTTTGTATTTAGCCTTCGTAGAAGATCTAGCAACTGTTCTTTGTTTCTTGCATACCCAAGACACAAGATTGGATCCAAGAAACACAGCATAGCCACTAGTTAATTGTCTTACGGTCCTCGGGATAGCCAGCCCAATCAGAATCAG